ATATCTACCTTTTTGTATATTACGAGAATGAAACTGAGTTGGCCTCGTCGGCTTTGCCTTGGCATGTTACAACCGGAAGTAATCTATCAGACAGTATGAGTGAACATTGGGAACTGAAAGGCCAAGCAATCGGACATCATAACACTGTTAACCGGGTTTATTGGCCGGGTAAAATGGCCTAAGTTAAAAGTCTTACGGTTTGTACATGTGCAGGAATTAGACGGAATATAAACCCAATCGATCTGAGCCCAATTAGGGAAATAGAGGTTTGTATGTTGCTGCATGTCATACTGCCGAATGGAGGCGGAGTTAGGTTCAACTACGTAACTAGCATACGCCTCCAACTATTCGTGTAACATCCGCCTTTTTCGATGGACCCCTGCGCAGGATAGATGATACAGAACGCTGTTTACAGTAGCAACATTTGAGATTCAAACAGTGACATAGGATTCGCAATTCAGGAGGTAACAACATACACAACACATAATGCAAATGAGTGTATTTCGCCAATTTCGTACATTTTGGTTCCAAGTGGAACGTAAGGTTGACGGAAACTCGGAGAGTGCGAATATCTGATGAACCTCAAGAAGGGCGAAACCGGTCGTGGGCTGTCGATGGATTTTCAGCAACCTTATGAGTAGTACATTACGAAGATATACATGTATCGCGATATTTCAAATATCGTAGCGACTGAAACATGAGGCGGCCTGGTGCAACACATTCAGTGGCCTGGAAACATCACAAACGAGAGATTCAGCTGGGTTCCAGGTGAGTCTCTCGAAAAATCAAATTAGTTTGCAAATGAGTGTATATCCGCTAATCCCTGTTTTTTTGGCCCATAAGAAAGTGGTCTGTAAAGTACCTTTTGGGGCAAACACATAATGAAGTGTTATCAAACAGATGAATCGGGACTTTTGAACATTGCAGTGTTGCATTGTTCCTAAGCCGTTATCTTGTTGGTCCATGACAAACAGTGAAAACATGGATTAAGTCAAACTGGACACTTGTTTTCACCACAGCATCAAACAGCTCTGAAGATATTAGTCCGCCTTGAATGCGTTAAATTTAGAGGAAAAAAGTTGTCGCCCATTCACCTGGAGAACAAGCTCTCCCTCCACATTGATTCTACTATGCTCTAGCTTTTCCCCTAACGAGATCATAATTGCAAAGCCGTGGGCATCGGGCCACGTTATCCAGGTGGCGTTTCTTCAGCAGACGGGTGTTGCATGACCATACTCACTTGTTCATTTAAATACTGCTCGGAGATTCTCGTCCCACCTGCTCCACGCATGTGCTCTAACACCCAAGAGCCTTTAGAAATTTATGCCTCCTATTTTATCTGCATTTCTTATGTAAAAACTATATCAGTCTAGCTAACGAAAAGGTATCATGTCAAGTGAGTTCATTTCAGTATTTAGCCAGATTGCCTTTATTCCAACAAAACAAACAAGCGAAATCTCAAACACCACCCTGGCCATACACTCAGACTGCCCCGTCCCCGTGTAGTCAATGGTAAGCGCACAATACATTCTATGTTCGATTCGATTCTATATACTGACCAAACTACTCCTATTCAGGCAAGTAGTTCTGACTTTATCTTTATTCTTTGATTTCATTCGATCCCTGTAAGTCAAGTTACCGGAAATCTACAACGGCCGTGATAATCCGGGATCTCCGTTCACATCCAACAGTCAGATTAGCAGGCACAAAATTACTGGGTAAACCGACCAAACGTAATCAATTTTGGGGTTTTGTGGGATAGGTATTTTTGTTCGTAGTTACACCACTCTCGTTTGAACGGTCGTATTCCTGTTCTGGCGTAATTGTTCTGATGAGTCCACACCAAAGGGAAGCACTGGACTCGAGTTTCGCTCTTATTAGTGCTCATCAGCAGTGCGTATCCAATGGGCATGCCGGGATTTGAACCCCGGACATCTGACGTGCGAGGCGGGCGTGTAACCACTACCCCACCAACGCACGTTGGACGCATCTGAATTATGACGTCCGAACAGGCGAACGTGTTCACAATTGAGTGATGTGATTGGTATGCCCGACTCATCGAAAGACGACCCAGTAACTGTCCTGGTTGTGACGATCGATTCAAACATTGCATCGCACAGGAACGCGACTGTTCAAACGAGAGTGGTGTGGCTATGAATAAACGTAATCAGTTGGCATCGATGGATGTGTCCTTGTTTGAATACCAAAATGCTCATCTTGATGCCTTTTTCAACTGTGCAAGCGAACCGAGTTTTGAAACCGTAACTACCACCCTTTAAGGCAGTTCATTGTACGCAAAATGATGGGTGCTCATCAGGATATGGAGGAGCTCCACATCATACACCAAACAGAGCTAAATCAACTTATACTAAAAAAAGATCGTTCGTTAATTGACATCTGAACTACAAGCAAACATCCATATGCAACATCCATATGCAGAATGATTCTTCCATGGAGCTTATTAGTGGAAGTAAAATAAGCACACGACTCGTGATCCCGTATGAGAGGAGAGTCGCTTTGAAGGTATGATAGAGTGCTACCACTTTCTATATATTTCGCTTGTGATAACTGGGGGGGACGCCCGCTGCTGAAACCCGTCTGCGACGAAGGGTTTGAATTTTACGACAAAACCTGAAGAAAATGAATTATTGCTGCACACCATATGGGTCAATACTGAATACATTTTTCCCGTGTGTTTTAACTCAAACGTTTTGAAACGCCAGATTCACACATTACGAGGAAGTTATCTGGAAAGGATATTGTTACTTTTGGGATCTTATCTCAATTTCTGCACAATCATTAGTTTCCTTCGGTTTGCTGCGCGATTCCAAAATGTAACAAACTAATCCAAAGCTTTCCATAAGTGAATAATCCCCCTCACTCCTCGGAGACTATGGGCGTGCAAAAAGTACGATATTGATTGAGCTTAAAATTCTAATATCTCTTGAATAATCATGAAACATCAATTGGTCAGTCAAGAATACAGTTATGAGGTTGCCTTCTGATCGACTGCGCTGTGTTAATGCACGGTTGTGCAAAAGGGTGAATGAACCTACTACGTGTCCGCAAAGTAAGTGATGGATATTCCGCGGGAAATCACGGATAATAGGTTGAGTACCGGACAGGAAATGTGGGGTCAATTAAAGTATCCTTTATAAGATAGCTTCTGCAAGTTCCAAGAATTAGAAGGGCCCTTAACGTAACCACTTCTAATGAGTGCTTTCTCCCTCATCTGCAGAGGGGCGTCACTTTACTATCAGTATTAAAGTGCAACATTACTGGCAATCGTTTGCAATAGGATATACGGTTCGAGAGGTATTGATAAAGAACCTGTTCTATCACCCCACCGAATGCACTCTCGAGATTAACTTTTTTCTAATCTGCACTGATCCAAATGCCTCCACAATTAGCGTGAATTCGCCAGTTTCAATTATTTTTTCACATTTTCCCTTTATTCTTCAGTCTAAAATAAAGAGAATAGAAAACTTTCTAGAAATGTTTGTCGTCAGCCAATCAAAACTTCTAACCTTTCACCGCCAAAAGATGTCTAGCTACGGAATTTTTCGTATCCATGACTGATAAAAAAAGGCCACGTTAAGCATACTATATAGAGAAATACACTCAGGCAACTGAATGTGCTACACCAGGTATGTTTCAGTTGCTACGATATTTGATATATCGCGATACGTGTAAGTAATGCGCTACTCATGAGGTCGTCGAAGAATTTCTAGCAACCTTATGAGTAGTGCATTACGCATTTGCAAATTGTATAGCATTCTTTCAGGGTCACGGGGAAATCCCAAACCGCTGAACAAAGACTCTCGCGCGGGCCGGCAGTTCACTAATTTAGACTTACTTGAGCCAACGCAGATAGAGAACGATTTATGTAGGTGGCCTCCTGAAAACGCTCGCCCGATGTCACACCTGATTTTTCAATTCGTTCCGATCCTGCCAAGTCGCACAGCGTCAGCTGCCCACGACTAACCGCTCCAGAGATTCTGTCCGTCCCAACCACACAAACAGAAACGATGAGGTGGGAGCGCGAGCTGCAAAGTAAATAGCGAAATTGTGATTCGACGTTCTAATCGTGCTACGCCATGGGGGAATGTTGAGTTTATGAAAATCTCGTGAATATACAAACCTCGAAAAGAGCAGTCCGGAACAGAATCTGTCCTTTCTATTGATCCCAAATCTGTCTGAGAAGGACAATCTGGCTCATCGCAAGATGTCAACAGATATGAATAGCAGGAATTGCAATTCACAAAAGAAACCAGCTACTCAGAATCGTACTAAAAGCTCTTCAGAGTTTGCTCCCTGAGTCTGTGGCCTTATATCGCAGTTTTTGGTTTCTTTTCTTCCGGTTGGAATCACCAGAAAAATTACTATGGACGGGCGGAGTCCAACTATACTAGATTGTCAAGTTTATAACTAAACCTCGTAAGTTCACTTAAGAACGGCTCCAGTCGACCGAAAATACAGCACTTCCTAGCTACTATACAGTTGTTCAGTTGACTTTTTTATTAGTAAACACTCAAACACTTTTCATAAACTATACCAAAGTTCCTCAACTTAAGTAGACATAACTAAGACATCCGTGTCTTCTTACCGATGTTGTGTGATTACATCACTTCACAGGCAGGAAACCCGACTGGACTGAACTGAACTAAATACAATCAATGTACATCAAAAATAATTTCGCCCCGCTGACAAAAGAAAAAGATAATCTGAAAAACAACGATCTAAAATTTTGAGGAGTTCACATTTCAACACCGTTCATACCTGCTGGAATTGAGTTTCGTTTCGGCCACGTGTCTACCCCGCTGCCCCATACTGATCGCGTTATGCATATCCACTTCATCTTTTACCGGAACCCATGTTGCACCAACGATGCTGACAGACTGGTTGGAGTGTCGAATTTCCACAGGCTCACACGAGTTCGCTGGACTCAACAAATCCACCACATTCTCGTTGTAGATTTCCAGAATACTCATCTGTTTGTGTTTTAAACCATGAAAAACACTTGGCGATAAAAGCGGTTGAGAATCAACTGAGCTATGCTGTGAGAATCGGGTAACCTTCATGAAGAGATGAATCAGCTCCACTACGTTCATACTGACATAATTCACACCATTCTTGTAAGCTTCACTGATTGCAATTGGTTAGTTTACAAAGTAGGAACACATTTCGAACATAATACAAGAACCATGTGTTCAAACGGGAACCGGGCAATTATGTAACCGCAATGGTTGTGTAAATCCTAAAGTAACCGTTTGCACTGCGTAAAAATTCGCCGGACCACTCACTCAACTTATTTTCAAATGTGTTTTTCTTTTCACTATCAGTAGGATATGTCTTTTGAAATACGTAGCTTTGCTGTGTACCTAACGCGAATGTGTGCGACGTCGAACAGCGTCCTGGGGAGCCAAAGACACTGAGTTCGAGCTTCGTTCCTACCTCTTATCCTGATATTGTAGCGACTCAGTCACCCACATACTTGACTGTTCAACTCACAGTCGCTCACTGGATCGCGAGGCTTGTCTTTTCTCTCATACGCACAAACACGTCGCATTAAGCTGACTCATCGGACATCGATTGTCNTCGACTGTCTGCACCGCCCAGTCAGCGTAGTTACCACTCGTGTGCCGACGCGCCCACGTATACGCACTGGGACCTACATAAAGGGAAACCGAACCCAGTCAGGACACAAACTCGCGCGCGCGCAGAGAGCAGGACGTCAACCTCTCTACAAGTCCACGGACAACCATGGAGCGCGTGTAGCAATAGAACTGTGGAGAAAAACACGTTCCCGACGTCCGGACTTTCATCAAGGGACTCTCACCTACGATAAGTTCCTTTTTGACTTGCTCCTATTCTCACATTGTATTCATTTTTATACGTGTCGCAACCATGTTAAAAACTTCTATTAGTACACATACACCTTCTGATTTGTATTATGGCTATCAACACCTGTGCACTAATAATATCTAACTTATGTGTATGTATCCAGGAGAATTCGGTCCATGACACCTCTACACTATTAGGCGAATTACAAGGCGAATCTCACCGGATACGATGGTGGGATATTCTTTGTATTGTTTATCACCCACAAACTGCACCAAGGCCTGTTCGACCGGACAGTTATTTGGTAGGACACGGGATAGTGGGTAAATGGAATCACACGTCCCTTCCCCGACGATGATAAAAAAAATGAAATCACTTCGGTTCAAAGGCTTCCAGCAATACGCTACATTCAATCAATATGAAAGCAAGGTGCCCATAGCACTCATGTCTATCCGTACCTTCGAACAATTTGGTCGTCAGTTATTAGGAAACCGACCCAGTAGTCCAGTTTGTCTTGAGCCATTTCAACCTTACAACCAAGCTACATTGCTGATGTAAATCGCAGTGTTGGGCCTTCGGACTGCATCGGGTCATACAGATTGACTGGGCCTATACATTATAGGTTAGTTGTGCTGCATGTTATGACGAAACAATTTAGAATTGAAGTCAGATATCTACCAGACATAGAACCACCGCCAACTTGATAAACTGGATCAAATGTCACTCACAGGATTGTATGTTGTTCTTTTACAAGTAGTTGTTCAACAGCAGCTTGTAAGAACAGCTTGAAAAACGGACACTAAGAAGCGCCCGGTATGGAGAAGTGAGAACTTTCCAAAACTTAAACTGATAACTGTGAGAATAAACGATGGGTGGAACAACCAGTCAACTCACGGTTAACTGAAAATCCACTTTGTGACGTTGATGAACAATTCGAAGTAGTTCGCGTATCGATCTGATACAACATGAATGTCAGGTTTGAGACTTGTGATAAAGATTTTAGTCAATAGGTGTTAACTATTGTATGACTAGGGCCAACTTGTTCACTATAGCAAGCGCAAAGGTTCAAATCTTGTCAACAAATTGCTCATATGTAAGTAAGGGCTACCAACAACGTCTGGGGAGGCCAAGTTTACGAAGTGGTCCGACTGTGTAAAGTTCCGCGGGTTGGTGTTTATGGGTGTATCATGTTAGACGGTCTGTCAAAAACCGACACACTGATTTCCAAATTGGCATGAGCACAGAAATTCATTTAGTGAGATGAGTGAATAACGCTGCATTTTATATTATCTTCTCATCACCGGGCTTTTGGATTGGCTACTCTAAACAACGTTGAGTTAGTTCAAGCCCCCAAACCTATTGATGGAATTCATGACAAGAGGTAACAAACAGATTCTGTCATCCGTGGTTAGTTTGAACAGTTCATGATAATACTGTGATGGTATGTTGCACTTTGAAGAACGTTGTAGGATGAGATAAATTCGCTGGTAAGTATGAAAGTGGTGGAATAGGAGATTTCAATGGGAGGTTGAGTGAAACTGATTTAGTCACAGTTAGACTGGTTTGTGACTGAAATAGCTCCCACGTTAACGTCAGTTAACAGGTCTAGCAGTTACTTTTTGAAAGTAACTCTGGGTAGGAGGCCTGATAATAGCTCAGTTTTTCCAAGTAGTACTTGTGGGAATATTCAATTGAGTTCGCTCTTGTCATCGATGACCTAGAGAATTAATACCACGGAACAAGGACGCGACTTCCAAATCTTACGCAATGTATCTCCGTATTGACCATAAAACAAGCTTTTCAGGCCATCATTGTTAACACCATACTCCGTTCTTGGTACTTCATTCGATTAATCATACACTTCTGGAAGTGACTGAGGCCAAACTGTAGCAGTCTGTCAGCAGTCTGTCTGGTACACCGTGACCAAGCTGCTCAACGAAGGACCTGGTTTTTCTGGAGGATAGAAATACACACGTCTATTTGTTGGCGCAACATCATGGCGAAACGCTGTGTAAAAGGCTCGCGAAAAGTGAGATACAAGCATTGTTAGTGCTATGTTCAACAGCATTCGGACTGCCATACATATGTGCCCTTTCGATTTCCAGGCGCATGAGCACCTCAAATTGACAGGCACAATTCTGATGTTCACCAATTCTCCGTTTGCTTCGTATGGCACAGTGATACCAATCACAAGATCATTTTTCAAAATAGATAAAAACGCTCTCTTTGGAATTACAAGTGATATGATTAGAATGCAACTATTTAATGTCTCAACTCTGCATTGGTACGGTTTGGACCAGAACCATTAGATGGGAAAAAATTAGTGCATAGTTTCTTTAAAAACGTTAGGTAACCCATGAAATGCATGAAGTTAGTAAGAATCTGTGAAATTGAAAACAAGTAAAACTTTTAAGTGAAGTTCTGCGAGCAGATGCTTTGCGGAATCTTTCAAGGCAACTTGGGTTCTTGGGCACTTAACATGGACACAAACCAAGTTTGTTCAATATCATTGTCAGCAGTAACACGGCGACAGAAATGCTGGCATTTCACTACCGTACAACAAGCGACAACAATGAAGGACAGACACATCGGAACATTACATCTTAGTAAGACACCATCGGTCGGACCGACACGGAACCCTTTCTGAACTTTATCCAATACCAGCTAAGCTCACAGCAACAAACAGTAGCTCAGATGGGAAATGACAGCAGTTCCACCAATCAGATCAGTTGCGTTTAACATCTTGAGTAGTTTTTAGCCACGTGGAAGGGGAATTAAGTGAGCAATTTCACCGCAATCTGTACAAACGATGTCGAGTAGATGGGTGCTGTGTACTTGCATCTGGTTTGGGGGACCAATGAAAAAAGCAACGCTCAGAGCAGAAGATTTCATACCTTCCTTTGCGAAAGCAGTATTCAGATTAGTGAATTCTTCAGTAGCTAGTTGAAGCTAGTTTAGATTAGTCAACCTCACATATTGGTTGACATGGTACAGGGGTTACAGTTTTAAACGGATCACATAAGGATCACAGTGTCACACACACACACACACGAATAATCAACGTCCATCTAATGGGTACCAATAAAGTGCTCGCTTTCTGGGGTTTTTGCCCTTACCCGACCACATCGTCAACACTAACACATGCTACTAGTGCGTTGTAAATGTCAACAGCCGTGAGTTTGACGTGGTGGACAAGTTATTAGTTAGTTTTTCGTGCAAAAGACCCTAATCTGACCTGCAGCTACGAGCTGGTAAAGCCCAAGTGAGCGCCATAAACAAGTGATAATGAGTATTTCAAACGGTATTTTTGGAAGTGGACAGTCAAGAGGTAAGAAGTTGGATAGTTCCGGGTGTCCATTCGAGCAAGTAAAAGGACTTCGAAAGCTAGCATCATCGGTATCATCAGAGAGCAAGTGATTTGTAGGCCTAATCATTATGCCCGCCTTTGAATTTCTGAAATGCGGCAAACGATCAACACTTAGGTGATCAAGGCGCAAGAAGAAACAGCTTGCTGACCAATTTAACTAGAAGTCTAAACAATAGATATTTCAGCAAAATTTCAAAACCATGGCTTGAAGGCACGTTTGTTTGGGTATTCCGTGGTTATATGTATGGTTGCGTTACTCCTATTATATCTAACCCAAGACAACAAGACGACTATCGACCTATGCAGAGGCCTTTTGACTCGAAACTTCAAAGTCAAGACAGAGGCGGTCGGCATATTAATGTCACGGCAATCCATTTTCAAGAAAGGACTGCTACAACTGTTCAAAACGTGAACCTGAAGTACAAAACATTGTGATTTTGGGACGTTTCTCCACTCACCAGCACGATATTAGGGAGTGTGTAGGTCCTGTGTTCACACTCTCCAGTATAAGTCAGTGGAATTCTGAGATATACCAACCGCCGCAACACGATAGGGTTCCAAATCTTTGAGAATTCAGGAAGGTATCGGGTAGAAACTAGTTTACTAGAGTTTGAACGGTAAACCGCGTTATAATTGGTACGATCATCAGAAGAATATACTACATCATTGCTAAATTTTTATCTTCAATATAAGAGTAAAGGTGGGTTTCTTGGAGGTAGTGGTTATCTCTGGTGAGAGGGAGAGAGTTCACCTCAAGATCTGGGGAAGTGGCATGACTTCGAATAAATTATTTCTGTACGTTCACTTGGCTGCGTGAGCCATAGCTTGTAACGTATGGTATTATGGACCATTGAAGATCTGAAAATCACTGACCATTCTAGGCCCAAAGTAGAACCAATTGTATGTAGATTCTCTAGGACCGGGAATTTACCTTATTAGGTATTTTTGTTTGCAACTAGTTCAGTCTGTTTTTGTGTTATCCCAAAGGAAAAGAGTACGTAAAATATGCACAACGACTGACTTACAAGATGTTGACACCAGGTTTGTCTGGTGGACCTTCCATAGTGTACGTTTTCCCACTGCCGGTTTGGCCATAAGCCATAATGCAGACATTGTATCCGTCCACAGAGGATGCAATGATATCACTTAGTTCACCGAATACCTGGAACAGCGAGATGGGTTATGGATGGGAACGGACACCGCCTAGAAAGAATGAAAATACTTCTGGAGCACGGCGACATTTGAATGAAACAGTCAGAACGATAAGGTGTCTCCTGACCGTACCGTAGATTCAAGGTGCGGCATTCACGAGAAGCATTTGCGATCTGGGCTTTTTACTTGATTCCGAAAATCATCGTAATTGCTAAGCAGATCTCTCATTTTCTACAACCTCTCCTCTTATAGACAAAGAATGACTGTCTGAGCATGAAAGATTCATTTCAGGCGAGATACTTGTTTGAGGTTTGGAAGACCGACATGGAATAATTCATTCGTCTTCAACAAACGTGTGGAAAAAATCCCTTATCTTTGAAATCTTTAACCAAATCTCTCTCGTTTAGATTCGAATATGCAGAAATTTACAACCAACCTGGAGCGTGGCATCCAGGTACGTCTGTGAACGAGTGCGAACACACTGAATCTGAATTACACTGGCAATTTTGACTGGGGAGAAAACTGTTCGACACATGTGCAGCTAAAAAATGGAAAATTTTGTCATTTAGGATTTCGCATACCGTTTTGGGGATCTAACTGGACTGACTGTTGGGTAACACAAGTCTAAAGTCTGTACGCAGAGGTGGTGGCTTCCTCACGGGTACTCGATTAAATTCCGACTTCGGAGCCAACAATTTTGTGTATAGAACAAGCTCGCATGAACTGCGAATTGATCATCAATGGGCCTAGTTACACCCAGACAATTCAGAATGATGTAGTCAATCTAACTGAGGAAAATCCTTCACCAGAACCTCTGTGTCGCCATAACACACATGACTACGTACAAATTCGTCTTTAGTTGACTTTTCCTGAACGTATTTGCTCGGCACTATCATCTAAAACGTAGTCAAAGGACAGTTATAGGCGGAATATGTGGACGCGCCAGAATATCCTATCCCATTGACGATATCAGCCGTTGAAAGTGAACGAACAAGGTTGCTTTGATGTTATTCATATCTTACTGTTTCCTCGGGATTTCGCGTTGGATAAGACATTCAGGGGTGTATTCCATGTAATAATACACCCAAGGAGATGCTGGACTTCAAATATCATTAAGATTAAGAGAAATGTCAGCCTTATCGCATGGTTCATTCGAAGTGCCCCACTTCACACTCAAACTTATGGTGTAAAAACACCGCATAACTCAGGCCTGAGTTGTCACGAGTCACAGTTGTACCTGTTTATGACCGTCTACGCTGTAAACCTTCCTTTCGTCTGGTGCAAAAGTAGTCAGTGTTTTAATACACGCTAAAATCAGAACACCCGACCCGTTGTGGCCGGAAGAGATTCACCTGCCAATCTCACCTGTTCTTGTGTAGCTTCCACATGGAAAACGTGATCAAACTGGAACCGGCGTTTGTTTGAACTTGTAAGATGAGCTACTAGCTCCCCAGCGTCCGTTGTCTGAAGCCAGCAACGCCGACTACTATCACAGTCGATCGGGCGTATGCGACAAAACACACGGATATTCCCACGCAGTTCGATCAAGGTGTTATAAGTCAGTCGGCGCTGTTGAGCTTCCAGACGGTATAAGGCACGAGTTTCTACCAACTTCTTTGTTTGCTCCATGTATATGCTGTGTGAACGCTTGACGAGAGAAGCCACCTGAAGAAAGGAACAGCAGACGATTAGAGTGAATAGCTTGTGCAGAGAAATATCTCAAATGACTAACGGTCTTCAGTGTGAATAGCCCATTTGGCAGAGAGTTATGAAGGTTTATCCATCTCCACAGTATCCTAAGTTGGCAAAAGGCCAGGATATTCCGAAAATCTCAGCAATTTTTTCCGCACTCAGTTTTTCGGAACTTTTTAACTTTTCGACGCTTGTCACGTTTATAAGTAGGCTGATGTTAGTACCTACCTGATGTTAACACACTACTTGACGCAATATATTCGACTCGCCCAATTGAACTCTAAACTTGTCAGCAGTATCACTATCAGCTACTACTAGCATAAAGAACCTGTAACGATGTAGCAAAAGGTCTTACACTCCTGGTATTAAAATTCTCATGCTTGCTTCCTGCTTCGTCGTATGCAGGCGACTGATAGTAGTGGATGCTGATTCTGTGGCCCCACATAAACACATGCATCCACCAGTCGAGCTTATCACATTACCATCTGATTCGTTACATCTCGGTATACCTGTCATGCACAAAAACATGAACAGTTGAGTATGGCCGCCACGGGTAGCTGTGCTCCTCAATTTGTAAAAGAGATCAGAGGCAACAAAACTTGCTTGTTTCCTGTGCATTGTAAACAAACCATTTTCAAATAAGGCAGTGACGTGAAAGAAAACGAGGCCACGTACCTGTGAAGGTGGTTCGTCTGATGATTTCTGTTTAGTTTTCTTTCAAATAACTGCACAATTTACACAACAACTGGTGATGCAAAACAACTTAGTATCCGATGACAAAATGCACTATCGCCGAAAACAGAAACCCAATAGAAGTCCACTGATGCTTTGTTGCCACACAATCGTGTCGGTCGATTTAAACTAATTCTCATAATGGGAACAGTAAAGGTGGACTGAAGAGAAAGGACCTGGGGTTAGCCTCAAACAAACATCCGAGGTGCCTACACCTCCAAAACTCAGTGAGACAATCTGGATAGAAATTGACAACATGAACCGCCACTGACTCCTTTAGCCACAAAATCGTTCAGTGTCTCCAGACAAGCAAAGGAAGGGACAAGTGCGTCTGGTGCTGGAAGGAGAATGGCACCCACAGCACCCAGGCGTTTTGTAAACTCTTTCCTTCTCTTGTGGTATGTTTTGTTCTCCTCTTCACCTCTGGGCTTCCACCATTCGGAATGGGGTGTGAAATTCTACACCCTCCTTGGAAGACTGCATTTCGGCATGCGTAACGCAAGGCATTGTCACCTCAGCTTGAACTGCTGGATGAATTATTTGCTAAGTCTTTCTGGTGCAGAAGGTGAATCAAATTCAAACAATTAATTCTGGCCTTTGACACTCATACATTGATTATCACACTACCGTCAGAGCTAGTGCGACTCCAGAGATTCGTATAGTCTTCCGAGCATCTAGTAGTACTCCTTGACATTTTTAGATATGTTAAAAGGCTGTACGTTCCGCAGCAGGACTTTGATATTTGCGGGTGTAAACACATGCCAAAAAACCTAATGACCTTGGTCAATCTTTCTAGTAATTCTTACGCTTCCTGCCATTTTTAAAAATTTTTGTTTGCACTTACCAGGTTAACCAGGTTCTCGAGCGAAAAGATTCAAAACATGGGATTTCGAAGACCCTCCAGAATCAGTTTCACTACCTTGTCATTGTCTGAATAATCAGACCAATTTTGTTCAAGCAAACAGCTGACGTGACTTTTAACTCAAATAAAGTGTATTACGATAATAAGGACCAATTTCTCATCTCTGTTTATCAAAAAAGCCTATAACTTGACGAAATGAACCTGAAACCACACATAAAATCTGGGTGAGTTCGGTTTCCTGGTCTGGTACCGACCTAACTCATTCTCTCTAGATTACTGACGATTGGTTAATTTTTCTACATTGTAAATAACCTTCCCGGATGCCTTCCGGACTGTGAGATGTAAATCTACACAACATGATTGTGGGGATTTATAAATGTCATTTGATTGACAAAACTACTGTCTGGATTATTTGGGAACCTTATTTTGGGCCGAATGTATCGTCAAGGATGGCTATAATTGGTCATTGTAAAAAATATGAGGAAAAACTCATTGCAAGGAGAGTAAGCTAACCAGCAGGCCAAAGTATGGATGGAGTCACGGGTATAGGTTCGTTTGTTTCACCTACATCGATGCTCATGAGAGTTGTCCTGGTCGGTTACGACCTTTTCCCGATGTTGAGAGCTGTTATTTTTGATGAATTCTGAACTGATGCCTCCAAAGAATATCAAGACGAACAAGACAAAACAATGACAAACGTTCTTCTGTTCAAACGAACAAGTAGGCATGAAGAGCTGTTTATCGATATCCCATTTTTCAAATGGGGTGTACAGTCCACACAGACGACTGAATATCATTCTGCGGGCGCATCTGGCGAGCACTTCCCAGCTGACCTCTAGTGAATAATCAGAATTGTTTCTTATCGTTTCTCAATGCATACGAAGAGCCGCGTTCTTATTATGGGCACAAATTAAAAGCTCCTAGGAGAGCGACGCGTTAGGCGTTCCGCCCATTTCGGGACATACCAGATGGATGTGCCACGATTTGACTGCTTGATTTTCAGTATCAAATTTCACACTCAACCCAGGAGCCAATTTTTGTTTTAGGTGGTGTTTTGAATTTTGCGAGTGATCTGGCTAACAATGGATAGAAGAATTTGTTCTATATCAAAAAACGTCTGTCATAAGCTTTGTGTTCCCCATTAGTTGATAGCAAACCTAAGCAGCTCATCTGATTATAACGGGCTCCTTTTGTAAACAAGGTACATTACTTTAAGCAGAACTCAGCAGAAGTTTCATATGACCTACACAAAAATCAATTTTCTCGCTTTGCTTTACGTCTGCTTTGCGACATCACACTCTCAAACCCATCCAAAGTAAAAAAGTGTATTCGAATTCTCTGACCGCGATTCATCTTACATCTCTTACCGTTTTCACAAAATCTTGAACGAAGTGCTTTGTCCCATGAAGGATATCCCGAACTTCTTGGCAGCAGCTCCTGACGTGCTGGACTGTGTGGTCAAACTGCAATTGTATGGTGTTTGATGCGTGCTCAGCCGATTCCTTCCTCTCAAGCATCCGCTGCAAAAGGAAATAGTAAGGACACCGGCCTTGTATTCCACATTCTTCCAAACGTGGTTTGATCCATTATTATGTTGCTTACGAATTGGTAATTACCGTTAATTTTCTACTGGACTCCCGTAACACCAAATTGGTATGCTCACACCAATCCAGTTTACATAAGTGAAACTGAAATGTTTCAAGACTGAAATTGTTTCCAATGAAATTTTTGGAATGGTTGGCGAGGTTTAAATAAAATGGCTATGCATGTTCCCGGTAGAAGTAGTCACCTCCTTGAATACTGTGTATTTCTAGGCGCTCATTCAAAACTCCGCATTTTGAGAAAGTTCACCCCGGTACAACAACCATTAACAATGCAAATGACTTAGTACCAACTCACGTATTAGATATGTTTAGATAATGATAACGTGCTCCTATAAATCAACTGGAGTGAATTATCATCAGCTGCAGTATACCTGGCTAGTCTGTCCTGAAACGATTTTAACGCAGTGGCGCAGGAAATAATTGTCTCCTCCGAGAGGGTGATAATTCTGTGTTTCCCGAACAAATTTGCGCCTTTGTTGCGATCTTTTCATTTAGGGATGTTTTCAGAGAACGTAACTGGAGGGAAGATTGTATTTCATCAACAATCGGGCGACACGCATTTTGTTGAGAGAGTGATCAGTATCACTAGCTAAGTACTGACACAGACACAGTCAAAAGATAATGATATCGTGAAAATGTAAGGGTTTTCTGATAGATGAGTAGAGATAACTATAATCAAAGAAGCGTAAGTGAAGGTAGCCTAATTAAAAATTTGAGCTTATCTCTCAGAAGGAAACCTCCAGAATGCTGCTCCATGCCGTATTCACTCCAAGGTTTCATACCTCCGTCTCAAAGGACGATAATCTCAGCCTATCTGATGAGACTAAAACCGGAGATTGATTATGAAACCGGAATCGTTTCCGCTACCGAAAATTGCTTGAGAAAATAAACTGCCATGGAAAACAGCTGATTCGGCAGATGTGGTTTTGGAAACCAAAGCCTTGAGACTGACAGCTCCTTAGAATCCTTTCGTTTTAAGTTGCATTTTGTCTAAGGTACTGATACGGGACTCGCAGCAGGTTTTTACGTCAGATTATTCATCACTGAGTGCTCAGGACATAGTTGCGAAGAAAGAATGACGAGCGATCAACCCAAAGCTTAAAGACCGACCCAGCGCTGAACATTCCTCTGATTCACTCACTCGTCTTGTAGGTTATTCCGTCTTTCTTGTGTTTTATTTCGCTGCTTTGAAGCGTGTTCGTCTAGTAGCAGTATAATTTTCGAACAACCGATTTCTCTGGCTGCAGCAAACTTGCAGTACGATAGTTTCATGGTGTCACGGTGCTTTGTATATCTGAAAACAGTTATTGATATATTTCGATGCGATCATCAGTCTTCTTTTTTCTTCCATATCTTCAACGTCACTGTACAGGTTTTTGCATTTTTTTTAGATTCTTAGAAAACGATGGTTTTGTTACTGGCTTCATAAGGAAGGTAAAAATGACGTAATGTTGCCTATTGACACTCATTTTTCTTATGGTTTTCAAGGTTTTGGAAAACTTATACAAAGTCGCAAACTAAAATTAAGAATATTTCAAACAGATTTTCAGTAGCTTACTCTAAGCCGTTCGTTGTTGCTCTTCTCACGGGACAACTCAATGAGCACGTCGGTTAGCTGTTGTTGCTGCAAAATAAAAACAAAGGATGCAAATTAACTACTCTGCATCTCCCTTTGGTTGATTTTCTAGATGGTGTATCAGGAGGGGGGCTATTCCCACCTTGAAATTTTGCTGGTCCGAAGCGAAGCATTCTGAGAAGAACACATAACAGACAAACATAAGAGACCAGGGTTATCAATAAGGTTATTTTCATCTAAAAAGTCACTGCCAAAAAGACAAGCCTATTTCAGTTGTGACATTCCAAGAAATGGCCACCCGGCAGCAGGAGCCCCTTTTGAGTCGTTCCTTGAGTTAGACCTTTCAAAGTGGAGTAGCCGTTTTGCCTTATTACGGTTACACACGTGCATTCCCAACTGAGGAAAAAACGCTTATAGGGACAAAATAACTCCACTTATATTAAAATGGACAACGGATGATGAAAATTCGCGGTTAGTTATGTTTTAAACGGTATCGGGAAACGCGGAGGATTGTTTGGAAAGGTTGTAATACTGGCCAATTTCAAAATCAAAATTTCGCTTTTTTACATATCACGATGCTGATAATGTGCCATTCGGTTCATTCTTTTACAGGCCGTTTGGAGGTGAGGCAATCTCGAAATCGTAAGATTGAAGGAGCATTGGATGGGGTGTCTCCTCCTTATTTTCAATCCACAAAAGTTGTTTCGGCTATCGGGTATGCAACTTGTGACAGATCAAGTGAGATTCATCAACTGGAAAACCAAAGGATTTATCGTCCTCTACTTTTCCTATGTCAAGGACTGTTAACAGCTGGATAAATCATCTTGTTATAGGTCATTTAGTATGGAAGTTAGCGTGTCCATTGCAGCCACTGTAACCTATTACGGCGTATGCTCTCCATAGAAACAGTTGGACCACAGGATTTGAGTGGTATTCGTGCGTCAGCCAAGTTTGTGTGGAGACTTAACATATTTTCGGGACAAAACTTGAAACGTAACTCTTATCTAGAGAAGCGCATCGACGAAAACCTTCCATAGTGTGAAGTATGTGTTTAGACCCCCATTTCCGGTCGAGAACCAACTCGTGAAAGGTGTCTTCTCTAACGATGGTTCAGCAGCAGGAGGNGATTTTCTAAACCGGGATCATCCGCCAACAACAGCTTTCCATCTGTGAGTTAGACACATTTGTTTGCTCATTTGTTAGGCCCAGAAAATCATGACCTATAGTCAGATAGTAGCATTCCAAACTATTTATAAGGCAACTGAATTTCTCAGTGAACGAATGATCTGTTGTTGGCAATATACGAGCACAAACCACCGTTGCTATTCGCGTTCCAATCGGGACCGTTTATACCTTGTAGCACTCGCACTCTTATATTAATCATTGACCTATGATACTCCGTTGTCTCAAAGCTGCCAGGTTATTTTGAAGGAAGTACGAGAGCTAAGGATGCCCATGTCTAGAAAGTAGCAGTCGGAGGGCCAGGGTTGGGTTCCACCCATCTCCACCTCTTAGATGTGCAACCAACCCCAGAAAAATTGACGTTGAGACTGTGTCATCAGTTTTCCAACCTATACTCTAATAATGTTCATTATACGGATTAAGAAAATAGCTTACCAGACTTCCCACTTCGTTGGTTATCTGAATTAATCCCTTATCACCATTCTCTGGTGATGCACGATCTTGTGTGAAGCTGATTTGTCGTGCAATCGGACTGCTGCCCATCCTGCTCGTTGAAGCTCCTTGCACCGAAAAACTGCTTTCTCTACCCACACTACTGTGATAGGTGTTAACGCAGTCGTCAACATTGTAATTGCTCACCCGCAGTGCTGCCAAAATGTCTGCGTCGTCCCCCCAACCAGGGCATACATCCTACAGAGGTTTAGATAAGAAGAAGGAAAAAGTTACAAAACCAAGTCGAAGATTTTCTTTAAATCCTAAGAGCAACTAAGCATTTAAATTTCAAGGCCCATCGATGATTCACAAGGAATAAACCAATCAGAACAGTAGTGGACTATACAACCACACTATACAACCACACCGACTTGAAAAATTTCCAACCGAGATTATTCAGCTACTCCAGAATGATCTGGCAAGCGACGTTAGATATCCCTCCAATTTTATTAGGAAAAACTTTACAAAACAACAAAACTTTCCTCAGTTTCAATAGATCTTTCGCATACGCCAGTGTGCCTACCATTTAAAGCCTCGGAATCTCGCATCACCTGTTAGAAAGTGACGGATCTTAAGCCACACGCACCAACTTGCCACAGACGGAAATAGTATCTGCAGTCGAGCTTAGTCTACCCTCGACTTACAGAGCTTCAGACTTACAGACTTCACAAAGGGCTTGTGCAGAAAAAAAATGGAGCAGCAATGGGCTGTCTAGTTGCACCAACCGTGGCAAATAACTTTATCGAACATTTAGAAGAACTGATTATGAGTCATTTCCCACACGTGTAACAAAGAGTTAGTCGCAGACTTTTGTGATTGTGCAACGAGATTTTCACTCGGCCAGTTACATCTCCTGAGATGTCTTTGCAACAGTGTAAGCTTTGTTCAAGAAACTGAAAGTGCTCTCTGTACACTTATCTTTTGGGACTATCTTTCAATAGGCAATGAATCAGGTTTCGATGTGTCCGACTCATGATGGAAAATACCTGGATTAATTTTCAAGCCATCCTTTGAACATTAGACGAAAATTGATAAGCTCTTTGAAAAGCAAAGGTAAAAGTGACATGTTGCGAAGGTTTCTGACATCAGAAATATGCTGTAGCAGAATGACCGACCGATTGTTTTCAGTGAACAGGCTCTCGACCAGTTACAAACAAGACTGAACCTGGAAAACAATGACGCTCTATCAGCAGTTCAGGTAACCTACCGATGAAAGGAATCTATCATAAACACCTCGTAAAAACATGCAACACTATTGGCAGGCTCTCGGTACGCTGACCACACAAATACAGAACTGACCACTTTCATTCCATCCTTTGACCCACGAAATATACCCACAAAGCACAACGTCATGCTTCAGAGCGCGCAATCTCTGAAAGAGTCACTTGCAATTCAAGCAGAAGTACATCGGCATTTGTATTGCCACGTATTGAAATATCTGATGTAGTCGTTGCACGAATGTCACAAGCTAATTTGCTTCACTTATGGCGTCAAAAGTAAATCTAACTGGGTCTTCAGGGTCGCAATAAGAGCTCTATTGTGGTATGGTATGCCCTGCGGACAGATGGTGTGGGGCCCCTTGAGGCTTTCGAAAACCAATACCTCAGAAGTGTTGCTGATTTTGGATGGCCTCAATGGGTTAGTAAATGAGTGATTAGAAAACAGGTATTGATTGCGCATCAGGTACTTCGTTTGCAGAAAACGTCCAGCACCTTCAGCTTCACTGGATCGTCTATGTGCTACGCATGCCAAAATAACATCGTCTAGCACGATTATCGGTGTTCTCCATGTAGTGTTCTCCTCCGAAATGACGAAAACTCCCAGGTGGAAAACATTTTTCCTCGCAAAGGAGTGCGAAAGACATTACAAATCATTTAAGTGTTGTTGTTGTTGTTGTCTGCTCTCCAGAATGAGATTCTCGTGATCCTCTCTGCGCTTGTAAAAAATGGCGGCAGATCGATGTCAGTGACATTTGTGCTGTCAGTTTTTTCCAGATTGTCTGAGGGGTGGCTCGTAGGTGTAGGTACATTAGAATACTTGAGGCAGGCTAGTACAGTGTCTTTCCTTCACGCAATTTTTCCCTCTTTCAGTTTTATTGTTTTAAATAAAGTCAGATGTACGGCAGTGAGGCATCAGTGTCAACACTGATGTTACGGACTCTGATGATGACTTAGTACACTTTAAAAATTCAATCAACCCAAGTGATCACACTGGTTGTGTATATGGAATCCGTTCTGTGGATAGAAGTGCAATCTGCATAGAAGAGGTGAGCACGATGCTGAACATCGAAGATATTCGAGCCTCCTGTCTCAAACTTCATCGTTCGAGAAGCTGCAAAAAGATTCAGTCGTAGCCACGCCTAGACTATAGGGTTTTACTTGACGGGATTCTACCAATTTGCACAAGCCTGATGAAACAATCAGAGCGACGCTGTGCGAACACCTTGACCGCTCACAAACAGCCTGCCTTCGTCAACCGAAACGACAGTCACTCTGTTTCGGCTGCTTAATCAAGGTTCATTAACATGAACCAATAGCTAAAGGAGCTGACTTCGGCTTCAGTCGACATATAGGCGACTGTGACACCATGACAAAGTGAACAGGAATACCGCATACCGATGCATGCCTGTCAATCTTTGTTTCTTTTTTTCCTTGTGATTCTGATTACTTCTGTCCCGACAGTCACCCACGGTGATCTAAGAATTGAGCTACGAAAAACTGCAATCATTATAGCATTCTGTCAAAACTAACCTACTTAGAACCAGGGTATTTACCGGAGTTTTGGCTGGGAAATGTACCACTGTTTTGAGTAGACAATAACCGAGTTGGTCTCAGGAAAAAACAAGATCACTGAAATCGGTGTTGGCCTCATTAACATCTGTTTCATTGTACACAGTCTGATTCGTATTATGAATATGGAACGATGGGAATACGATTCACGTTCTCTCTTGGCTTCAAGGTTACAGTAACTGTAAAGAGAATATCAAGTGCAAGCTTAAAATATACTTTAACAGTGACCTTGACAACCGTCAGGTACTGATTTTTCGACAATCACTGGTGAAAGAAAACGCGAACAAACATTCCGAGTTTATTGTGCAACCATAAGCTGGTCGACTCATTATTGAGTTCATTGATTCATAAGACAACATCCTGCCCGTAGGTGGGTACAATGAAGTCTTAATAATAATAAAGAGATTCGTGCAGTTGAACGCCTTTTCGCTGCCATGCCAGCCGAAGGAAGGTATTGATTTTCGACATTCACTGGTGAAAGAAAACGCGAACAAACATTCCGAGTTTATTGTGCAACCATAAGCTGGTCGACTCATTATTGAGTTCATTGATTCATAAGACAACATCCTGCCCGTAGGTGGGTACAATGAAGTCTTAATAATAATAAAGAGATTCGTGCAGTTGAACGCCTTTTCGCTGCCATGCCAGCCGAAGGAAGCACGAGGGCTGGGATGCTGCCAGGCCGCTCAAGTCTAGACAGTAGGAGTCGAGATGCAGAGGTCGGGTTCAAACCACGATTCTTCCGGGTCAGTGAATTCACGCTAACCACTGAGCCATCTCGCCCCGGTCTAATAACCAAGCTCACAGAAGTGATAAAGCCGGTCACTCTGCTTTTTTTAAGTAATAAAATAACAAATACGGGGCTGTTTATGCCAAAGGAAAGTATGGGAAGTTGATCAATGGTTCAGTCAATGTTGACAGGCGTCAGATATCAGTTAGTTAATATGCAATCTACTAAATGCAGTAGGGTTTCGCCACATCAAATGCGCCGCCTTCGTGAAAAGTGGTAACATCAGTTCAGTCCAGGATATCAATTTATGCTTACTGAACACTAAAACTTTTCATATGTTTTAGGAATCCCTACCCGGCGTGAGAATGGTTTTTAGCATTCTCCATTTACCGTTCGAACAATTCAGCTATTTTTGGAGCAAAACTTCACACAACTTTTCGGGCTTATACCACTTTATACCGTCGATAAACATTTTGAACGTATAAGCTGGCGCCAAATATTATTATTTGAAACGGGTCTATTGAGAAGCTGTCAGCGCTTCTGAAAATAAAGACTGTTACAATCGGCGAGGATCCTCCTAAATGTGAAAAGATTGAGACAGATAAACCGAACTATTATTCTATTCAAGTAAGCAAACAAAGCGAGGGTGAAAGAGGGTTACCTTCACAAGATTTACCAAATGCCGAGCGGCTGGTGAGTATAGTTCCCATGCAATTGGCAATCGCAACCACGTAGCCTCTTCTGGATCAAAGTAGCAATGAACCCTGGTCCTTGTCTGTCGGAACCGAAACATTAGATGTCAGAGGTAGGGCAAAAAGGATGGCACCTGCTTTATAAATTACTAGGGGGTGGATGACACCTACAACTATTCTAGTGCAATGTAGCCTTATTGTTCCCGAAAAAACAACTCAGTGGTGGTTGTTGCGTGTAACTTTGTCCAAAAGTTCCTGCATGAAGTAAAATAATCACAGATCAGGATGCTTAAATAACTGAATTGCGCCTACTACAGAAAAAAGAATTTTGTTAACAGCATCACTGAATTATCCACGTGGTTGTGTTTAAGGATACAAGTGGAACTGCTACAGCGCGTGGCAGAACTCATTATTTCATACCAACAAAATATGCCTAAGTGTGTCACTGAAAGACCTCGGTTAGTTATCCCAACAGGAATTCCCACTGTTCTGCACGTAAAACTCCTTATTTTAGCTCCTGATCGCTGTAGCGTCCAGCCTGTTTCACATCCATAGAGAACGGGAGTCCATCTGACTAAAAACATTTTCCAGTTTAGCTACTGCATGATTTTAAGTAGCACACGTAACACGTAATAACAGATAAGCCAATACAAAAGATTTCCGGAAGCGTGGTTGTTTGCAATTTGACGTGAATTTTGTCCATTTAGTATGCTATTGACTTTGAGAAGCCCCTGACAGTTACTTCTCACAGTGCGGTCTTCATTGTGAACAGGTCAGATTAATACCAATGAAAGCCAGTTTACTATCATCAGGTAAATAGACGTCTAACCAAACAGAATTTCGACCAACTCGGTGTTACTCGCACCAGGTGCTGTGAGGGAATATTCAAAAATCAAATACTGTCCAGCGATGACAAGAATGTTTCCAAATGTTAGCCTGTCAATCAGGACAAAAAGTCCACCTCAACCGTGGTAGACCAGTGCACTGATTCGGGACTGGGCCCTAGCCATTCTAACCTCCGGTTAACAGGTATTTTCTGAACTATAATGGAAGAAACTACCATCGTTTACAAATTTCTACGTACAATCTATTGTGTACAAAAGCTGAGAGTCAAAAACGCGTCATAAACCTGTCTACAAGTTCTGTGTTTTGAAACTGGGAAAGCCTCACAACAATGGATTTGACCTTCCGAACGTAGGGATGAGAAACGTACTGGCTGATTTCATGGTGGGTGAATTTTCTGTACTGAGTTTTAGTGGCACCGCCTGCTGTTAATGACGTTTCTGTCCAGCTTTTTGACCCAGTAAAAACTGACGGAACAAATGGCACTAGATAGAAGGCAAACGTGATAGCTAACACACACTTTGTCCTCAGTTCAACGCGACGGGTTGTTCAGGTCTTATTATCGTTCGCACAAAGTGTGAAAGCCTTCCTATGACCAAATTTTAGGAATCAAATTAGCTTTTATGTTCAAGTACCCGTGAATCTGATGTCAGCCTTTCATTGAAGAGCTATGACCAGAATGGTAATCATCGTTATCGTGATTAACTATCATTTGATTAATGTAAGTCCTTTTTAGCATGCCTTTCCTTTAGCGTAACATAACAGCAAATTGTGAGATCGGTATACAACGATGCAGCAAGATTTAATTATTGAAGTATCCTTCGAAAACCTACCTCAAATATTTGGGTCTGTAGCTTGCCACGCGCTGGAATGTTGACGAATTCCACTCGGTCCTCTTCCCAGGACTGACTGGAATTTTGCCTTCCACATGAGCTCTGAGGCATATATTCCAAAATACATCGTTAGAATGAAGCTCATAAATAATTACACTCGCTCATATGACGTCTAGGGGCTCAAATCTGAGAAAAGTTATATGAGTAATTACTTAAAATGCTTGTTAAACAGTAGTTTAGTACTGTCAGAATTTGCTTTTGATCCACTAATTTTATAACCATTGCACCACACAACATCCCTTGGTTCAGTCGCTTGGCTCAAAAAACGTTTGCCGACGTCCACCTCCAAATGACCAACAAATCTGATATTTACAAATAAATACTCCTCTGTCCTACTAAATGCGCTTCTCTGTGGGGGAATCTCCCGTAGTACGTTAGCTCTTTGAAGAAAAGGATTCCGTGACGAGGCCTATATTCAGGTCGTAATCGATTTCGCTGACAATCATCTTTAAGCAGTCATACAGAGGACAATTTTACTCCTCAGACGGGAACAATCAGGAGATACAGCGACCTTTCTTGACAATAACGCTGTTCAGCAGCACCAAATGTCTCTTTAGTTTGTAGTTTTCTCCATAAAGATATATTGTCCGAATCCATTACAAAATCAAACAGGACTAGAAAAACAGTAGCTCATTTTGGATGACTGCGATTCTTGGTCACCTCGAGTGGGGAAACTGGGATATCTTCAAGTCTCAAATCGGATGAATTTGCAATATGAGGATCAAAATATAAGTGCCCGGCGAATTGAATGGTGCTTCACTTAAACAACGCATTCAGCAGCAGTGCAACCTGAGGTAAAAATGCCTCGCGTTACACAGGCCAAAATGTAATCTTCCAAGAAAAGCGTAGATTTTTACACCCAATTCCGAACAGTGGAAACCTAGAGATTAAGAGAATACAACATATCACGAGAGGAGAAAAGATGTTGAAAAAAGACTGGGGTGCGGTGGATGCCATTCACCTTTCAGGACCAGACGCACTTGTCCCTTCCTTTGCTTGGCTGAAGACGCCGAACGATATAGCGGCTATCCGATGTTAGTAGCATTCACACTGTCAATAACTATCCAGATAGTTTGACTGAGATTTGGAGGTGTTGCCACCTCGGATGTTTGTTTTAGGCTAGCCCCAGGTCCTTTCTCCCCAGTCCAGTTTTATTCTTCACATTATGAGAATTAATTACAGTCAGCCGACACAATTGTGTTGCAATATAGCACCAGCGTTTTTCTACCGTGTTTCTATTTTTGGCGACAATGCGTTTTGTCATCGGATACTAAGTTGTTATGCACTACCAGTTCTTGAGTAAGTTGTGTAGTTATTTAAAAGAAAACCAAACATAAACCATCGGAGGAATGTTCGTTGCTCATTTCTTCTTGTTTTTTTCTATTATTTGTTTTCTTTCACGAGGCACCACCTTAATTGAAAATCAGTGCATTTACAGTGCACAGGTACCAAGCAAGTTTTCTTGCTTCTAATTTTTGTGTTTATTTGAGTTTCTTGATTGTCTGTTTATTCTACTCTTATGCTTATCGACATTGAGGCAACGTTTTTGGTTGCACGTACTGTATGACTCCAGAACAGCCGTTGTATTTTATGTCCTTCAGGTGACTTTTATCTGCACAGGTTTAAGTACACACTTCTGGAACAATACTTCTATAGTAACTATTTTCGGGACGTTATCAATGACTTTCGACTTCCTTGGCTTATTGGCTCTGCTCACGGGCACTAACATCCTTCATACCTGACGCTCAATCAAACCACCGTCCTGAATTCCTTTTCTACGTCATTATGGGAAGTTGTTTTTAACTTTTGTTCGCGAATTTAGTTCTATGTTCCTTCTATGCTACAATGACACAGAAGCACGTGATAGGTAGTCAATGGGATTGAGAGTTCTAAAAAGGGACCCTTCACGATTCCTTTTGAACTTCACTAAATTTATGTTGTTTCTCATCATCAGTTCCCGTAACTCCAACCGTTATCCCCTACATCCGGCACAAAATGGTACGCCGACAATACGGATTCCAGGAGTGGTGTTATACTGAAGTTGTATATAGCTTCAGCATAATCTCTTCGGTCCACAGGAAAACAATCATCACACGGCTTATAATGTCCGATAACATTTGATCCCATTCATGGTGTGTGCTATCTATTTTATTTTGTTAACTTACGATGGCCTGACACCAACAAACAACACAAGGCTGGCACTGAATTATTATCAATACCTCCAATCAATCAGTAGCGGGCAAAAACTTCGCACACTATTACCTAGGTTGAAGCCAAATGATTGAAATGAATCGATTATAAACCTGTGACCCTTTTGGTACCGGTCACTTAATTGTGCAATATTAAGCATGTCAATGGCAGTCAGATGATTTTTTCTTGACTTTCTAGGTTTTCACCCCATTCAAATTATCCCAGGGAGGCCTCCAATCTTCAAATAATCATCAAACATGGTACAGTTTTGTTCCGTATTCCAAAGTGCCCGATTTTCGTAGATGTTCAAGGCATTGTGACTCTGTGAAGCCATCGGATTTCAGTAAGAGCTCAGAACCCTCTGTTGTAACTGAATGGCCTGCACACATCTTTATTCATGGGATCTTCAGTATGACAAGATTATTTGGCTACAAATCTCAAGGTTTTGCGAGCCGGAGGAGATCGGTCTGCATCCGGGAGTTACACTCTGTCAAGTTAAACTTCGTCGAAAGAGATTAAGAAGAAGTAGGGAGGTGAACATCAATCGATTCACTAGCTATCAACAGTGTACCACAGGCGCACTGGTTCCAGTTGTTCCAGATTCGATCAACGGGAAAAGGGAGCGTGAGACCTACAGCCAAGCGCTAGAGGTAAGGGCATGTTCAGTTTGTTCGGATATTGGGCAGCCACTCATTGGAGGCGACCGCTC